TGTCTTTAACAGTCACGATACAGAGCAACCAGTTCCTGAACACTTTGTTGAAAAAAAGTATTAATATTATCTGAATGAGGTGCTTATATTCACTACCAGGATAGAGGGTGCATTGATGTAGGTGGAGAGTGTCACAAGATAAATATCAGCATGTCGTAACATTTTTTTTTTACAAAAATCAACTAAGCAATACAAAATGTCTCTAACAGTTGCAATACAGAGCAACCCATTCCTGAACACTTTGTCGAGAAAAAGTGATAATACTATCTGAATGAGGTGCTTATATACACTACCAGGATACAGGGCACATTGATGTAGGTGGACAGTGTCACAAGATAAATATTGCCAAATGCAATTAGTGGGGTATAAAAGATTGGTGGAAGTAAGAAAAAATCAAAACAATGCTTAGATGGGCAAAGGGAGAAACCCTGGCAATTGAGTAATAGTTGTAGTATAAAGGGATATAAGTATGTTTTGGAATTCTATGTTGTAAACATAGATCTGTATTTGAAAATGTATGTTTTATCACTTCTTATTGTTGAAAACCAAATCCTCCTTTAAAATGTTCATTCTAAATTTTTACATGTACTTGTCCCACATAAATCATAGAATTAAATACTTTCTTGAAATATACAGTTAAACAGTTAAATGAGTATAAAGTATAATACTGCAAGTATGGATGATCACTCAATAAACATAATTAACCCTCTCGCCAGAGGCATCCTCTACTGCACACGTCATGAGGATTTTAGTGAGTTACATTCAAAATATAATTAAACTACTTTTTGTTCGTGTCATACCAATTAGTATAGCATAAAACTGTAAATAATAACCCATATTATATTAAGTTTTAACTTCTAATTTTATATGTTATTTTTGTTTTAAATCCTGAATTTCACCTAGTGTGAAAAATGTGACATTTACTTTTAGGCATTCCCTCTTTAACTTATTCACCACTCTTCCAATAAGTACAAAATTTAACATAAATTACACATTATGATATTGTCATCGCTCAAACAAAGCATAATTTTTATAGCCTCCAATCTTGTTTAGTTACAGAGCCATCAAATAGAAAATCAGACCTCTCTTGCCACACCCACCTGTCACATCCTCTCTTTCAGGGTTTGTTTATGGTTCTCTCTTACGTTTAATACTATATTATTTATAACCAATAGAAAGCCTAGGTTTCCATCTATGAAAAGACATTATATACAATGTTTTCTGTACATAAAATTGTAAATTTCTCTTTCAGTACAAGCTTCATTCCCATAGGAAACATATTGACTAATTCATGAATTTGTCACGGCTCTTGCATAGTTAGAAAGGCAAAAAAATTGCAATAGTTTTGGAACATTGTCTGCATTCTATATGTTATTATCTTGTTCTTTGGTGCATTATTTAATTAACCCTATCTCCCCCCGAGTACCCTTTACTGCGCATGACCCAAAGTTTTAGTGTCTTAAATTCAAAATTTTATTAAACTACTTTTTGTTTATGTTATACCAATTAGAATAGCATAAAATCTCAGCTAATAATCCATATGTTAATAGTATACAAGTTCAAAGTTCTTGATTCTACAAAGAAATATTTTTAAAAATCCTGAATTTCCACTAGTGTGACCCATGTCACATTTTTTCTTAGCATGTTATCATCGTTATTTTATCCATTGCCCTTCGAAAATGTACGAAATTAAACATAAATTACCCTCTATAAAATTGTTATTACTCAAACAAACCATAATTTTTATAGCCTTCAATTTTGTTTGGTTACAGAGCTATCAAATAGAAAATCAAACCCCTCCTGCCACACACACCTGTCACATCCTCTCTTTTACATGTCATTGATAGTTCTCTCTTACTTTTCAATATATATATTATTTATAACCAATAGAATGTCAAGGTTTTCATCTATCAAATGACGTATTGTACAAAATTGTATTCTGAACAGAATATCATCAATTTCACTCACAGTACAAGATTCGTTCCAATGGAAAAGTTAACGACTTACTTGGATGAATTTTTAACAGCTCTTGTCACATATTTAGAAAGTCAGGAAAAATTTGATAGACAAGTGAATTTGTCTACTTTTTGCATGTTATTAGTCTATATTCTTTGGTGCATTATTTAATTAAATAAAAACTGTTAAGTGCAGTACTATAACTACAATAAAAAATCAGACTCTCCTCGACAATTGAGGGCAAGAAAAAAGAAGATTGGGTAAGTACTTTATTTCTTGTTTTTCATATTTAGTATTATAAAAGTAACTAAAATCTAAAAATATGGATCTTTTTAAGTTATGTAAGACTAGTTTAGGTAAAATAAGTAATAATAATAATAATATAATTAAAACGATTCATGAGGCACGCATGCAAGCAGCTCGTGAGTAATGTAATTTGATAGTGTAACGTTCCCCAGTGATTTACAACTTATAATGGCATGAATAGTAGTTAGACTTGGTTCAAAGGGCAATAAAACAATAAAATTTAATTATGAATAGATGTATAATGTTACGAACTTAGAACTACTTAGGATAAACAAATGTAGTTTCATGTTACAATTTGAAGTCATTCTAGAGAGAAAAGAAGGTTAATTTAGCTTTATTCCAATTTTTTTTTGGTGGTTATGAGGTCGGTTGAATTGACCGATCCCGTTTTGAGACAGGGTAGAGAAAATAACAGATAAACCATAAAATTTTACTGAAAAAAAAAAAAACGTTTGAAATGCATTTTGGAGGTTTTAGGGATAAACAAAGGAAATTTGACATTTTTAAGATGACGAAACGTATTTTTAATTTTAACATGAAAATTACTTTGCACACAGACTATTCAAAACAAATATTCAATATATTCATGGGCAAATTTTTATTTTATTAAAAACACTTCACCAAGAAATATGACATTTTTATTATGTGAAAGACTTGTAATATTAACTGAAAGACTGCCAAGTTTCATGAAGATATACCCAATATATTGACAGTTATAAGTATTAAATTTATAAAGACTTTAAATGAGTACAAAAGGTCACGTGACTTGGTCAAATTGACTGACACCATATTGAGAGAGTCAAATAAAAATTATTTAGTGTATTACTACCATTATTATAAAAAAAAGTAGGGTTGAAGTGTCATCGATGGTCAACAAAAAAAAAAGAAAAAAAGAAGGTCCAGGTAAGTACTTTATTCCTTGTTATTTATAATTATAAAAGCAACTAAAATGTAGAAATAGGAAACTCTTTAGGTTAGTTAACCCGATGACCACTGGCTACTAACTTTTTAGTAGCCAACGCAAGTCTTGCTATACTTCGTCCAACAATAAAACTAGTGGATGAAATTGTTTGAAACTTCATAAGA